ACATCATCTCAAACACCTCTGCAGTATCCATACAGATAGGCAAATGCAACAGCCATATTGCAAAGGAGGAGAGAGGTGCTGAGTAATTCTACAGAGGTCACCACCAGAGACTTCTCAGTCCACACTCAGTGCAACCTTGGACCCAGAAGAAAATTCCTCTACGTTCCCTGGTGCCTACTCTCACGTAACTAGACCATGCCATCCTTAACGACAGAAACCTCAGCCCCTGCTCTCTGGCCACGGGGCTGTAAGATTGAGAAAAGGACCGGGAGACGCACAACTGCTGCGTTGCTTGATTAAAAGTCAAGCCGTTCTCAGTGGCTGCTGGCTTCTTGCCAAGTGCAATGTTTATGATTAACTTAACATCCACAACCGTATAATTAGCCTGTGTAACTCACCAACGCAGAACATCGTAGGAGATAAGAGAAAGCTGAAAGGCTGTAAAATTGTTCTGGATTGCACAAGCAAGGTGAAAGTGACACAGGCTAGAACTGAGTGCTCCCAGGCACAGGCACTCACAAGCACGTCTAAATTGTTTTTGAGACTACCAGTGGCCTCTGTCCTTTGCAGTGGCACGGTAGCGTGTTCTTGTCAGGGCAGGATGGAGAACAAGCATTTCATTAGCAGTTAAGGTGCTCTGGGTAATGTTAATGGCAGGGACAGAGTTGAAGACCTGTACTTAACAAAGGGAAGGAAGATAGATAGATAGATAGATAGATAGATAGATAGATAGATAGATAGATAGATAGATAGATATTTCCCTCCCTCCCTGTATTCTATCCTAAGTCTTTGGAAGGGAGGAGAAGGTACAGCCCAGAGCACCCCTGCCCCAAAACTGGCCTGGAAGAGTTCTGCTATTAGTCCTCTGTCATGTCTGGGTCAGGACCAAGCATGTGGAGCAGGTCACATGCTTCAGGATCTTGGAATCGGCCTTTGGGATCGTGCCTCCACTTAGCAGGGAGACTTGAAACCAAGGGCCACTGATTTCAGTGGGGCTCCCACGGCAGGGCTGGATCCAGCCCAGAAAGCAGAGCTCCCAAAATTTGGGTTTCAAGACTCAGTTGCATTCCTTCCTCCCCAATCACAATGGAAAGCCAGGTCATAAACCACGACACTGCTCCTGCGTTATGGGCCTTGAGTTACAGCAAGCCAAGCCAGAAAGCTGTTGTGCGTTTGCTGTGTCGGTGCAAGATCAGCAGCCCCTCTCCAAAACTTCACACACACACACCCGGAATTGCCAACAGCTCTGCAAAACTCACCCCATCCAGGGATACACTTTCCAAAGACCATTACCATTGCACCAAGGGAATTTGAACGTGCTCTGGTGGAGGCAGAAGAAGGTGGCCTCTCTGTCTCAAGAAAGGTTGCCACCTGTTTTTCTCTCTGATTGGCCCTGCTCCTGTGCCTTTCACAGCAGCAGCAACCTGGCATGCTGAAATGAAGCCGGGGAAAACTTTCCCTTTCATTTTAATCCTCTTTTCTGGCAGGAAAGGCCTCGGCAGCTCTAACCTCTTCGTCCTGGGGCTGCTGCTAAGAAGCAGAGGAGCAGGGCTGGGAAAATAAGTTGGCAACCCTGACCCCCACCATCAGCTCCACGATCTCCTCGCGCCCCCACCACCATTTCTATGTTGAGCTTCCGACCCCCAACATCCTATGCATTTGCACCCCTGGCCCCCAACAGCCGACCCTCCCCGCCTCTTACCTTCCACGTACCGGGACCGTCCGCCACCACCACTCTCCCTTTGCAGCAGCGAGTCCTCGGACTTCCTGGTTCCCCACTGCGCAGGCGTCCCTCCTCGAACCGCCCACTTCCGTACCAGCCGCCCAATTGGCTCCTCCGCTCGGAATTCCGAGTCGCAAAGGTTCCTGGGAGTTATAGTTCTGCGGTTGCCTTTGGCGCCTCTTGAGCAGCTTTGCAGTTGAGAAGGGGAGAAAAGCCTTTTGGAAGAAAGGGGGTTCTCTCCTAACCTAGCCCCCCTTTAATAGAATAATAGAACCCCCCCTTTTTTTTCCTGGAGCTTTGCAACAATGCATGCTTCTTTCTGGAAGTTGCATTTTCAGGTTAAAAATTCTGCACCTCTGAGCATAGAGTGAGTGCATCCTCCCCTTGAATGGAGCAGCGACGTTTTAAAGCTGCCTTAGGACTTCTAGGCGAGGGTCTTGTA